TCCTTTGCTCTCCTTTTCTTCTGCCAAGCACAAACTACTTCACTTTCAAAGCTTTGCAGTCTAATCCCACTGTAGCCATTATCCCTGTGCTCTATGGAAATGTTGACTCTTGGTTCACTAACAGCTCAAACATTTACCTTTGACCATCTGCATTTTCTAATGACCATCTCCAGTGCCTTTTGCTGTTCTGCCCCTGTGTGCAATGAAGAAGTTCCTTGTTGTTCCTATCTTAAAACTTTCTTTTGATCCCTGAAAAATTCCATGATAACAGAACAGGTATGTGATAAACTTAATCCTCCTGTTTGTGGGTGGGTCCATGCTTTCTTCTATTTCACATGTTATTCCATCTGTAATTATCCACTCTATTTTATACTTTAAAATTATGTGGGCTACTGCTGTTTTCTGTTGTGTTTGTACTTGGTTTATCAAAGATGTTAAATGTAACTTTGGCAGGTAAAACTTCACTTTGAAACTGTCATGAGTTGTAAATTCAATCCTTGTAAATTCTGGTATTTATTTTGTAAATATGTGTAAGCTACTTATTATTGAAATGTAGATTAATACAACTTGATTTTAGGATAACTTGCTAGATGCCTTAATTCCAAAATAAGCAAACACCACCAACACCTTGTGGTGTGCTGCTTTTACAGTGATATCTTTCAGTGTGGTCTGTTGGAATACAAACAGGTTTTATGGAACATTTTTTTCTAAACAGTCAACAGGTTTTAATTTAGGTTCTTAAATCATAATTGTTTTTCAATTTTCTGCTCTGCCTCACAAACGCATAATGAGGGCACACCTGATGCTATAAAAACCAGATGTCATTTCAGTATTCCAGGGCTGTGTGATAAATTTGGAGAGCTTAAGAGTTGGTATCATAGATTTATAGTTATCAGGGAGCTCTCAAGAACAGAAAGCATGTAGAGTGTTGCTAAATAAACAGGATCTAGGAATGGATTGCACTTTATTTTCAGAGGCTTTCAAAATGCTGAAATTATAGATGGAATTTTCTTAAAGAACTTTCAGGAGACCATTTCAAACTCCCAAACAATATATTCAAATTCTTTCTCCCTACCAGTCATGTTAAATGAGCCTGTGCAGTGCCACTTGCACTTGATCGTGGTGATTTGAAGAGCAGCAAGCAGACCTGAAGGAAAATTAGATTGTGTAATTCATTCCAGCTCTTAGAAACTTTCCTCCTTTACCATTCTCCTTGAGACAAAACTTAAATAGAATGTTCAGTGGGAACTGAACTGTACAGTTTTACAGTACAGTAATTGTATAGTACTTGTTTCTTTAAACAGGTTCAAATTCTGCATACAAGTGTTCAGTGGTCTATTAATGGAAACTATAAATATTTAGAAGAATAATAATTTTGCAGAAATTAATTGTCAAGGCCTAGGTTACCCATCTCTGGTTATCACTCAGCACAAATGCCAAAATCAGCAACGTCCATCACATTCATTCTTTATTTTGTGCTAAGATGTTCATTCCCTCTAGCTACGCATCCTGTTGAACTGTGGAGCTGAAGATACTGACAACTTGTTGGTAAAGAGGTATCAAGTTTTTTACAGGTTTTGATGACTTTGTTGTTTCTAACAAAAATGTCTTCCTGAGTCAAATCCAAGGATTCCCATTTGAATTGTAAGGAAAACGACCTTTCCTAGGGATTGATAAGCATTGATTTTTCATTTAATATTTTGTCTTCTGCTTCACTAGTCTTTCCAATAGATGGGGAAAATGTACCTTCTTCAGCTGTATGTTAATGACTTTCCACTTTTGAGTCAGAATGGATACATTGCAGAGAAGCTGTCAACTTGAGACTGAGCAAACTAAATATGCTCAGCTGAGTGAATCCAGCACTGTGAACATGAACCACTGGTGTAAATTAGAAAGGAGACACCTTGAAGCTTTACCATATTCAAGAAGTGTCAGATCATGTTCAATTGAAAGGGATGGCAGTGCTCTTTCTCCACCAGCGTAGGCATGAGTATTATGTTTCACCCAAGAAGGGCTATCCAGGTGTTCAGCAGACCCTGATGTTTGCACCTTTATTGTCAAATTTCCTCATTTTTTGAAATGCATTCAACTTGTTTTGTACAATCCCAGATATTTCCCTTCATAAAATCTTAAATAGGTGAGATTAAAACAAAATGTTTGTCCTTCCACTTTTAAAATAATTTCGTCTACTTTGCTGACTTATGGACTGTTTTCAAACATCTCTTTTACCAGCATTTGTTGCTGTAAGGACGAGTTGGTGGTATTAGGAACTCTTGACTATGGTGGAGATGTGATTCATTGTTGAGGACAAAGTACTCCCAAATATCAAGACTAGTAGAAATGGGAGAAATTGGTTCCCTTTAGTTCTATTTTGTTGTATCCAACTCAGCAAGGCAGCATGAGATCCTCCCAGATCTCCATACTCTAAAGGGAGAGTTGGAAGGACTGTGTCACTGTGCAGGGAATCTGCTTTAATAACATTGACATGACTGAGAAAACATAATAAATCCTGCCTTGTGGTATGACTGCTGGAATATCTGTATTTGATCAAAACTTCTGATTGATGAAAATACATTTTTTTCCTATATTGTGTGTTTGAAAAGAATATATTCCATTAACAGTAAGTGCTGTGGAAACTCACACCACTTGGCTTCTGAAAAACACATCCCTTTGAACAAAAATATCCCACACTCTGCTTTAAAGATAATATTTATATTTCTGCTGAGGGAGTAATGGGGAGGAATATCACTTGAGCTTGAGAATGTCAGTACAAGTGATATGTGTTGTGTAAGACCCACCTAAGCTTTCCTTGTTTGAAATGTTAAAAAAAGACTTCAATGAGTTCTTCTGCATAAGGATAAATTTAGCTCCAAGAGCAGCACCAAACAGACTTGTTGATTGGTGTGGGAGTGATTGCTGTGATTCCCTAGCTATGAAGGTGCTGTCATTTCTGCAAAGGATCTGTGCAGGGGAGGAAAATGCAGAACTGAATCGTGGGTCTGTGGATATGCCCAAAACCTCATAAAGGGCCCTATTCTGTTATGAATCACAACTCTGCTTTTTTGTTGTAAATTGTTTTTCTTTAATTACATTTTGGCTATAATTTTGTGACTATTTTGTGTGAAAAGTTCAAAACTGGATTAATAAATCACTGTAAAAACTTCTTACTATTTAAATACTGCCTCAGCTATTTTCATAGCTTAGAACAGTCCATGCTTAAACTTATATCCTTTACTTTTGGTCATGAAAGTGTTCTCCAGGTCATTCTGTAAGTCTGTGAGTCATCCACTTCCATGTGTTGTGAATATTATAAAATGACCCTTAAAAGGGGTGTGTTTTCCAAAGAAAGAGCGTGTTTTCCAAAGAAAGAGCAACACTGCACCTGCAGAAATACATCTGCACTTGCTGTACTGAATCAGTGCATTCTGTCTGCTGGTACTGAAAGGGAGGAGATGCTGGGAAGTCTCTTCATTCTACCTTCAGAGTCAACCAGGCTTTTGTACCCTACAGGCTGGGGATCATGAGGTGCCAAATAAGTGGAAGTGGAGACATCCAGTCCCTTCCCAGCCCTCTCTGGGACTGTATGTGTTGCTGTCAACATCTAATGATGACCAGCATGGAAGGGACAAGCATTGTTGCTCTTGCTCCACAGGCACCTATTTATTATCTGTTTCAGTGAATTCCTGCCACTGCTGGAAAAGAGATGTAGATATTATCGTCATTTTTGCTTGCTTTGCAGAAGGCAGGCTTTGATTTCATCCTCCGTGTCTCACTGAAGTCTACATAAATCATCTGAAGCTTGGACAAAAACTTCGGAAGAATGTTGTGATCCACAGCTGTTATCTGTGCCTTTCCCATTTTTGTTAGGGATAAACGGCAGAATATACATGTGCTGCATAAACCTGTGTCAGTCCTTCCTAAACAACATGCCAGAAATCCCCCTTGGCTGTATGAACAACTAATTGCAAAGTTCTTTTTGACAAAACAATCAGCCTTGCCCCCGTGCATGCACGCTGCTGTAATTCGTGGTACAGAGCAGCACATGGAACTCGGTGCAAGTATGTTCTGTATGTGGCTGCTATGGTGATTAAAATACATAAATAAAATAGATAAATATGGACCATATTAGAAATCCATTACTGGCACTGTCTCAGATCACAGTCTGCTCCAGCGTGCGGTGTCAGTGGTGTTTCCTTGCTCTGAGCGGGCCCTCATGGAGCGGGAGCTCCTGGGGGGGCTGCGCTTATGCAATGGCCCTGTCCTACCTTGTCAGCTCGCAAATTCAACACAAAACCGGTAAACAAAGGGCTTTTGTGCATGGTTTATAGTTCAGTGAGGATTAGTGGCCTGACACGGTTTTCAGACGGGACAAGCTTAGCGTTAAGTCTCCCGAGGTTAACGAGGGCGGACGCGGGGCAGGCAGGGGAGGCTGGGGCAGAAAGGTCTCACTCCGGTTTTCGGACACGGTACAGAGAGTTGATAAAAGCAGGTTCTGCTTACCTGGGTCGGTGTGTCGGTCACGTGTTCCCAATGTTCCAGCTGCCTTAGGATGTGGATGATCTCAGGCGTTTGCTCGCGGTCCTCCCCGCAGCTCCAGAGGTCCCCTCCACCAGGCTGGACATCCTAACCTGTTCCTGGGCTCTGGCTGGATCAGATTCCTGCTTTTCTTCCCCCTCTCACCTTTTAGCATTCTCCGACCGTAAAATCCATCCCTTTCCTGAAATGCAGGACGATGCACTTGTCCAATGAAGTTTTTCTAGGCGGGATTCAAATTCCAAACAAGCCTTTCATTTCCTTCGCGCTGGGGGGAGAGCGAAGGCAGGGAGGCGAAGGAAAGTGCTCGCTTCCTTTAAATCCCCACCAGCGTCTTCCCAGCGCTGGAAGCAAAGTAGCTTGTCATGGTGATCTTCAGAGTTTAACTTTAGAGGGGGAGGGAGAAAGTGGAAAGCAAACTGAATGCTGTAGTGGAGATTTCTCTCTTCCCCCACTGGGCCCCTTGCCGACTGTTTTTATTGATTTCAATCACTGGAGGCTAGCTGGCTCTCAGAAGAAACACTGTGTAATGTGTTCTTTCCTGGCTTTCATTAAAGAAACTCAATGCAGTGCGGTCACGCTGCCGAGCTCGCCTGGCAACCTGCCTACACCCTGTGGTACCTCTTTCATTGGAGGAGATCGAGCTCGTGGTTTGGGGTTGGTTTATTTATTTTTTTTCTAATTCTCCAGCAAGGATTTCAAAACAGCCCCTGCTCTGCTTCTACCTCCTCTCGCAGCCCAAAGCCTTTTCAAGCCTCGGAAGAAATTGTCAGCACCCCTAAAGGGGACGACTTTGGTGGCAATGGAAACGCCGAGTGCTGCGACAGTCTCGTGCTCCTTCTATTAAAATTCCTCTGCGTTTCTGGGGAGGGGTTAAAAGGGCTGTGTGTAAGCCACAGGGATGTGGATACAAATGACTTCCAAGGGGTTTCCTTTTCTTTTCTTTCTTTTTTTTTTTTAATTCCATCTTCTCCTGATTGGTTAACGCGGTTTAATTAAGGGTAAGGGAGTAAGCAAAATCCTTCAACAAATATGTGAAAATTCCTGGCAGCGCTGTAGTTGCAAATGAAGCAAAACTGCATTCCCCGAGCCTGCAGTTGTGGTGGTGTCTGAAATATTTCTGTTGTATTCAGAGCTGTGATAGCGGTGAAGAAAAATGAGAAATACAATATCATACTAATTTATGCCTTAGAACTTAATCTGCCACAGTAGATACTTCATGGGAGCAAACAGTCTATAAAGTGGAATTCAACAAGCTGTGTTCTGTAAGTCATGTATTCTGTGTGCCTGTAAATGGTTTCATTTAATTTGGTAAATTGTTCAATTTCTTCTTATTCAGCAGTTGCTAATGATAACATTTTATGGGCTCTTCACAGTTTACTGTAAATCTATGAGACATGCAGTTTGAAATTAAGCTGGGTTTCAAGCTAATCAAAGTGCATCTATTCTAAGTTACAGCTGCAAATTTAGGGTGCTACCTGATCACTTGTGCTCCTGAGATACTATAGCTGTGTACACAAGGAGGCTCTTTTTTTAAAAAAAAAAAAAAAGGCATTTACATGACCACAAAAAGAATCCTTTCCTGGAGCAGAAAGATAAAAAGCCTGTTCTTATTTAAATCTGGTTTCCTGCAGAACTTGTTTGAGGCTTCTCTGCCTGGGTTGAAACTACAGAAACCTTTCCAAACCAACTTAATATAAATTATTCCCAGTGTTTTTGTTGCAAGGAGTTGAGATTCTAAAAACACCTAGCTTTTATGAAAAATTTGTTATTTTTCTTCAAGCAGTGTATAAGTTTTAAAAATTCTTCCTCTGTAAGTACAACTGACATGATATAAGGAGGAGCACTTCTGCATATTGCTTTTCATTTAAAATTTGCTTTCTGCATGATAATGAAATTTCCTGTGCCCTCTCTGGTCATATTTCTTTTCAAAAGGTTCTAGATGATAGAAAATAATTATTTAAATTCAGGATGGCCATGAACTATGCAAATTGTCTAGCTGTAGTTGGAGCACAGCTCTGTGACCAGCCTCGAACAGTAAATCAATTGTCAATCTTTCTTTTATGAACCTCGTGTGTAAGGGTTTGCCAGCCTTTCTTCTCTGTGGGTTTTGAACTGTGTGTTTATAGATTCTGCTTTTTGTTTTTAAGCCGGCAGATGGCCAGTTATTTATCAGGGTTCATATGTATTGTGTGAGGCAGGAACAGGACGTTTTGCATGCTGATATTGTTCACGGGGCATTTTTGGGCTACTCGTAAGCAGAAGCCGTTATGTGACGGGTGGGTAGCTCTTGGTCAACAAACAAAGCCCCTTTTGACATTTCTCTGTATTAAAAGTTATGAAATAACATGAGCTTCATGAACAAACAAGGTGATACAATGCTTCTACTATGAAACAAACCGTATAATCTATTTCCCCTCCATTTTGAACTCTCTGGAGTTCAGAAATTTGACGCCCTTTTTATATGTTTGTCGCTGTTATTTTTTTCCTTTGAATTTCTTCCGTTGCTTGCTTTGCTGTTGTACAAACTTGTGGTGCTGGGCTGGGAGAAAAGGATAAAAGTCTGTTGGTTTTGGAGGAGCTGGAGTCACTGTTACTAATAAATAGTGAATTTGGTCTTGTGGCTTGGTCTGTGGTTACTGTTATAGGTTTGGCAGCAAAGCCAAACCCCTGATCAGGCAGAAAGTTCAGACCTACACAGGCGAATCATAAAGGCAGAATTTAATAGATGAGTATTTGGTTGGTTGTGGCAATTCTTCAGAGTTTCTGACTCCACCAACTTTATTCTGTGCTGGCAACAGACAACCAGGGATGCAAATGTGGGAGGTTTGGACGCAGTGATGGGCAAGGAGGAGGCACAGAAGTCTTTAGGAGATGTCTTCGGTTCTGCTCAAGTATGAGACAGTCAAGGACTTTTGTGTAACTGTAAGTCTGGAAACAAATTTAAAAATGCACTTAGTGCTCTGCTGAAAATACAACACAATTAGTGTGCTGTTAATCCTGTCTTGGTGCTGCTTGCTCAGCTATTGTGGTTCATAGTCCCCTGGCAGTACAAGCTTTTATGCAGATCCAATCCCTGAAAACCTACACCTGTTTGGTTCTGCCACTCTTGCTGAAATAAAAAAGGGTCAGATATCTTCAAGAAAACCTGTACATCTTTCTGCTGGTTTCTCTTGCAGTTCTCCTGATTTTTCTCTGTTCTGTATTGCTTGGCAGGGCTGCTTTGCACTATTAAATGCTTCCCTTCAGTGTGAGCTGGCTCCCCATTTATGATGGGTAAGCTCATTTATAAAGATGACTTATAAAGTGTTTCAAATTTGTGCAATATTTCGAGGTTACAAAGAATGATGGAAGACTTTAACCGGTATCTAAAACTGCCACAGCTGAAGCCTCCAGATATTTTGAGACAGATGTCTTAGACTATTTACAGCATATTGCTATATTTACACGCAGTTCAGAAGTTTGGAAACTGGCATTGATGAAAGTCACTGTATTGGCAGTCACAGCACTTTGCCTGCAGATGGACAGGGTACAGTATAAACTTTGGGAATTTGCTTGAAGATGCCTGAACTCACATCTCAGGCATCTTTGCACCCATGCACAGTTGACGTGGGTATTTAATGAGCGTAAGTGTGAAAGATTTGGGGGTCTGCCTTTTACTGAAAATATGGCATCCAGTGGCAATATCCCTTTTAGCACCTTTTCAGGCCTTCTGGAAAGCTTCCAAGTGGAAGACTCCCACCTCCTTAATCACGAGAAAACACTGGCTCTCCTCTGAATGTCATTCATTCAAGTGTGCTGACCTGGCCTGACCTTGTTTAGATTGAGATCTAATGAGCCCAGGATCCAAGGTGGTGTGGTAGCTCTCTGCAGGCTTTGCAAATAAGCAAGTGTTGTGTTTTTCTGTGTGCATGTGGTTTAAATTTATCACATCAATAAACAAGTGTCTCACACACTCAAATAGGGACTTTACAATGTTGTAGTTAAGACTAAATTGCAGCACTACAAATTGTGATGTCACTTTATAAATATAGAAGGAGACAAGGTGGATTATTTATGACCTCAAAACAATGAAGTCCTGTTGGTTGGGTTTTTAAAATTTAAATAATGGCATAACACTAAAACTCTTAATCCAAATGGGTCAGAAACTGGGTACATCTTTCAGAAGAACAGCCACACTAATGGTTTGGAGAAAGAGAAATTAAAAAATAAGGCTATTGATTTAAAGAAAGGAGAGATGCATCAGTAAAGTAATGAATAATAAACACAGCTATGATTCAAATTTCAGTATAAGGTTGGGTTTTGTTTTCTTTCGAGTCCCAGGTTTGGGGAAAATGTTCTTTTTATAAATTGCGATAAAATTACCCTCAGCCTCAGTGGAGAATATGATATTATGATATACCTACTAAATGTAGGTATTTTCTGAAGCACATAAGGCCTTCAAATTAAAAACCAGTCAAGGACAGATTGTGGCACGTACTACTAAGTTAACCAAGTTGACATGGATGGATAACAGTATAGTTGGAACTAGAGAAGTTGTTTGAGCCGTGAGGTTGTGAGGACTTTTCGCGGGACGTGTCCTGGCAGTCCCAGACAGAACCCTGATGAATCCAATTTTCCTTGAATGATGCTGTGGGCCAGCAGAAGGTACCTCCAGCTGTAAATCCTGACTCTTTCACGCCGGGACAGCCACAGCCCTGCAGGAGAACAATGCTCTTGTGTCAGACAGCCCACGGCACGTCAGTGGTGATGCTGGAAACAAACGTCGTTAGGGCCCGGTATTTGCGTTGGGACCTACAGGGAGGGAGCAACTTGTTTTGCTTTTAATGGAGCAGTCAGGGAGAGGGATAAAAAGCTTTTTGATAATGCCAGGAATGTGGAGGGGAAGGGGAGGCACCGAGATATGCATTTACTGTAAGTATGAAGAAGCAGAGGCCTCTTTATCAGAGCAGCTCTAATGATGTGCCACAGTCACTTTATTTGAAAGCTTCATGGCTCACAGAAAAGTAAACAAATTCATTACATTATTTTTAAAAGAAGATTAACTGTAGTGTGTAGTCTGTTGGACAGCTGCTCTAGTAATCTTTTACAAACACTTTATAAATGACCACCCTCAGTGTTTTCCAGGGCTTTGTGTGGCTGGATTGTTATTTTAGTAAGTATCAGGGTGGCTTTTCAAATGAAAATGTTGTTTCCTGTATAACAATTTAATTCTACCTTCATCCTAAATATTATTTTATTCTCAGCATGAACTATAAAATGTCTTCTATACAAATGCAACATATGTTGCTTTTTTTTGCATGTGTTTGTAATGGATGCTGGTTCTTCAATAGAAGTAGATAAAAAGTATTTTGAACAAAAAAAGCAAATCCTCTTTACTGTCATACTTCCATTTATTCTAATTTCTGCTTTCTTGCCCTTTCTTTGGTCTGTGAAAGCACAAAGTTGAAAAGATGAGTCAGAGTAAACTTAGATGGTAGGTAAATTGACACTGAACAAATGTTTAGACCCCAGCAGGTGTCTTTGGCAAATAAAGTTGTGTTCAGGTATTGTCTTGTTTAACATCCTTTGGTTGAATGTCAGCAAGAATAACCTTATTTAGCTCTTTGTGTGGATTTGTGTTTGAAAGCACTCAACTAACACAAATTGATGTAACAATAAGGATTTTTGAGTTTATGATGTGGTTTTAACCAATCTTGCCATAAAGCAGTTGATCTTGTGCATTCAAGTTTCAGTTTTGGGCTCCTCAAACAGGTGAGGAAGGAGCAGAGAGAGGGGGAAGAGCATTTCTTTCTCGCTCAGTTGGCCTCCATGGGTATCCCAGGCTCTAGTAGAGTACCTCTAGCAGAGAGTAACTCTTTCAAACATGTAGGAATCCCTGCAGTCAAACTCATCTTGCTGTGGAACAGTGTTTTATTTCTACACAGTGTAATCTCACACTGGATTTTATGTGATAAACTCGGTGTGTCTATTTAGTGCTCTTCATCTGTACATGAAATATTTATTTTCATTTGGGATAAACTGATGCATATATTTATGGCAGTACGGTTTTAGATGTGAATAATTAACTGTTCTGTCTACAAACCTAAAGAAATGCCAACCTTTGTGAGATATTGGTCTGTATGTGTTTATTGAAGATGGTGCATATGTTCCTTCAAGATTGCTGAAGTTTCTCCAAGTGGTCTTGGATGAAGATGGTAGTTGTCACATCTTCTCCCTTGGCATAATCGAGATGAAGCCTCTGACAGAGGTTTTCTCAGTCCACCTCAATGTGTGGTTACACAAAAAGCAGAAACTGAGAATCCCAGGGAAACCCTACTGCTCCCACTGAAATGTGTGTATGCTGAGAGAAATCCAAACCCTCCTTCCACCGTGAAACAGCCTCTGCTGTTTACATGCCCCCCTCAAGTTTGAGTGTGGGAGGACAAACAGCACAGGAAGTTTGAGATATGATGTTTAATGCATAGCTAGAGGTGCTCAGATACCTGATGGTGCTCGGAACAGCATCATTATCTACAGAGGGCAATTCGACAGATCTCTGCAAGTGCAGAATTTGCAGTTCTGTGAATTGGGCAGAGCAGAGAGGCAGTGGAAGTACAGTGAACAGGAAAAACATGAATCCTGAAGCTTGTTTTTGAATATTACCCATGCCCTTTATTTGAATTTATCCACATTTTGTTCACTTTCCCATGGAAATATAATCACTTTATTTAAATGTCAATTATTTCAGGCAACAAAAGAAGAGGAAGAACTTATTGCAGAGGAAGAGCAAGAACTTACTCCGGAGGAAAAGAGGAAACTGGAAAGAAAATTAAAGAAGGAGCGCAAGAAGAAGGAGAAACAGCTGATGAGGGAAGCTGGAATCGCCATTAAAAAGGTGGTGCCCCAAAAGCCATCGGGATCTGAGCGGGCTCTGGCCTATTTAACCAGGTAAGAGCAGTAAAACCACCACAGGTGCTCCCTGCAGAGGGAATCTGTAAACCAGTAATCCAGAACAAGCTGTACCAAGTAATAGCACATTAAAGGAAATTGCTGCAGTTTAGTACTAAGTTAATGTTTCATCTCAGCTGACACCCTGGAGGACAGTTGATCACCCCATTGCATTTCTGTCATAGGAACAACAGAGAGAAGTGAAGTATGGTGCAAACATTTTACAGAAAGGCAGCTCCTGTCCTGAAGATATTATAGTTGCTATATAAATATCGTGGGGTTAGCTGCACTTGGAGAGATGAAAGGCAGATTGCAGAAAAGACTGCAGAGAGAAAATGAGCTTTGTTTCTGGAGTGTGCTGTTCCAAGCAAAGAAGTTCCAGTTGTTCTCTTTATATAAGCAAATTCCATGGAATGGTTAAGCATTATGGAGCCTGAATTAAACCACCTGCGTGATGTTTGGATATTTGTAAACTAAGATGGTGATACCTTGGGATTATGCCACTATTTTAAGGTTAATAGTGTACAGTGCCTGATTTTTGCACACCAAAGTGTACAGCAAGTATAATGGCAGATTTCAGATTTGAGGCAATTACTTCATCTGGTTAGCACACTTATTTAGAAGTCTTAAAATTCCAGCACAAAGCAAAGTCTATGGTTAAACTAAAGAACTACAGGGAAGCATTCAGGGTACCCCACAGACAGTAAGAGGCCATGTATAAACAGGATGATAGTGTTTATTTTTTCCAAACTGCAGAATACACCCTGTCTGTAAGACCTCCAGAAAGCTGGCATCTTACAAATAGTGGGTTACCACGTGGAGTAATTCCAGGGTTGCATCTCTGGCTGCGCTCAAAACTGAAGCATCCAGACTGTCTGAATTGTTACTTACCACTCGCAGTGGGGAGGGAGGAAATTAATTGCATTCCAGGCAGAGGGACATGTGCATTTTTGTTACATAACCCTCAGCACGCAGCGATAGCAAAATGACAATAATATTTTTGATCTGGAAAACAGCTGGAGTAGTTCACCACTGTTTTGAACTGCAAATGGATTGACAGATAGCTTTGAACCATCTGCTCAGCCTGCAGTCTGGTATGTGTGCTCTGGTAAGTGGTGGATCTCTAAATAATGGATTTCAGGTTTAGAAAGCAAAGGAACAAGCTGTGGGATTTTGCTTGTTATTGCACTGTTATCTGTATGGATTTTTACCTTGTTAGGTGAGAGAATATGAAATTATATTTGAACTAATATTTGAACCAATTTGATTCTGGAGTTTCACTTAACCTGTACCAAATTACCTTGAAATAGAATACCTGCTCTGTTAATGGTCTTATAATACAGAATCTGTGGGCTGTCTGTACAGTAGTAGGTTGTGAGGGATTCTTTCATCAACAGACAATTTGAATTTTGTAGACTTAACAGGGATAGTCATAAAATGCTGAACTGCCAAGCAAACATAACCAGTCACTGTTCTAGCCCCAAATACGGCAGGACCATCTTGCACCATTGTAAGTTATAGAAAAACAGCTTAATCCTTTTACATCTCAGACTTTTTTTGAACACAGTTAGACTGCAAAAAGAAGCAACTGGATTTAAAGGAATCACAGAAGTAATATATTAGCTGGGGAAGGGGAACAAAAGTCCTATTTCTAGAAGTCCATTGCAAACCCTCCAGCAACATCAGTGGGTCAAGGATTTCAGTCTATGTGCTTTTGTGTGAATAATATATGTGAGGATAAGTAAATCTTATATCTATAAGATGCAAGAGATTAACATAATTGGAAGTAAACAAAAGGGTGGATTTGTGTTTTGCCCCACCTACAATAAAAGCCTTACATGACATAAGGTTGGTAATTGGAGTGACCTCTAAACTCCATAATGACATGTAAATCTCCTGTAGGACAGGTGGAACTTGAAGTGCCACGTGATAACTGAAACTGTCATTTTTATTTACTAAGGGACTCTTTGCAGTTTGAGAGCACAGCTGTATGAGGCACGAGGTGACTTTCACAAAGCCATGCCTCGTGCTGTTCGTTGAGGGGAGCTGATGAAGGAGAGCATTGATGAGAGGGAGTAAGGCACACAGTGTGCAGGGAGCAGGACTGCTCATCACATCCTGCCCTTCCTGGCACTTTCATACCAGCCCTGCAGCAGTGGAGCCAGATTCCAAGTGATGCAATGCTGGACTCAGGACGTGGGTGTCGCTGGCAGCACCGTCGATTTGTGCTCCAGCTGCTGGGGGTCTGTGCTGCTGGGCACACTGTGCTCTGCAGTTCTTCCTCTCGTCCAGTTTCTTTATTTGAGTCTGAAAACAAATTGTCCTTGATGTTTTCCAGTCTCCAGAGGGATCAAATTATGATTTTATTGGAGGGCCATCCTAGCAATTGAGAGAGGCTTTTTTCACCACGCTCATGGCATGGCCATGTGTGACAGCAGCTGATGCCAACTCACAAACTGCAGCCCCCAAAAACGTGAGATGCTGAAGGGTTTCCCCTGTGAGGTGGTGACATTCATAGCCCAGGATTTGGAGCTGCTTACCCAGTTAATGAGACCAGGATGAGCATGGCCAGGCTTTGCACTCCTGATGGAGGAGAAGCAGCCAAATGACTCTTGGCTCTTTTCCTCTCTCACTTTCTGTTGGCCTGTGAGAAAAGGAATGGGGGAAGAAAAATAGTCTTTGCTTCAGCAATTTTTGTCTCACCTTCTCCCTCGGTGAGATAATCACAGGTGGTTCCCAAGGCAGTTCTGTCCAAGGAACAGTCAGCATGTCCCTGGAAACAGAGGAGAGTTACTGCCATCAGACTCCCCAGCTTGGAGAGGGAGCAGACAGGAAGAGCTGAAGATATATAGAGGATTAAAAATAGGGAGCTGAAGCAGAAAGGTTATAAAACCCTGGAAAGGAGAAAAAGAGAATGTGAAATAATGAAAAAAACCCAGAATGGTACTGAGCAGAAGAGAAAAGTAACTGCTAAAATTACTACAGAGGAATAGCAAAAAGCAGGAGTGAGGAAGTGTTAGTGGTTCAATAAACTGCTGAAATCTCTTCCTTTTAATGATGACATGCCTTGTTTCTTTATGATGGTAAGTGATGATTCAGATTTAAAGCCAAGATTAGAATGTCTCATTACTGTGATTCTTGGAAAATCTTGAAAAATTCATCCTTTTCTGAGCATTAAGCGACTTCAAGTGAAAAGATGTTGCAATTCATGAGAATGGTAATTAGATTTAATTATAACCTAACTGACCTTCTGTGGTGTTAAGATGTTGGCAGAACTTGTTTGTCTTGGCAAGCCACTCTCTCCTAGAAGCTGCTGTTCTTGTGTTTGGCTTGCAAAGTTCATTGCTGTATGGATCTGCACATATGGTTTTCTCACCCATCAAAGGAGTAGACAGAGATCTGAAAAGATCTCACTAAAAGTATGTGGAATTACAAGACTGATATCATCTGAAGTAGAAGGAATAGATAATATCGTTGTCTGGATATTGCTATGAATTACTTAAGCCTTTCAATACTATTTAAAATATTAAATTTTTGAATGTGTTCAAATTTTAAAAATAAGGTGTTGGAGTACCTGTTTTTAATGATTTGTGTTGTAGCAGCAATATATGTCACCAGAATACTTCCCAAGGCTTCTTACTTTTCTCTATAGATCTTGCTTTCTTCATCCCTGAATTTAAATTTAAATTTTTAAAGAAAAATAAAAAAAAAAAAGATGCTTTTAGAATAATACAAACCAAGGGCACGTCACAGAAACGCTCGAAAGTGCGAGACAGCCCGAGTTCCCCGTGGCGTGGGGAAATCGTCTGACTCTGCAGAACCCAGAGGTGGTTTTTGCTGAGCGTGGTGGCAGCTCTGCTGACAGCCCCGGACAACCCTGGGCGGCTGTTTATCCGCTGGGTTTGCAGAATGGAAAGAGATCCCAGTCCTCTGTCCAACTCTGTTAGAAACAGTGCCAAGCACGGGGGGTTTGAAAGCTGAAACATTGTTCTTCCTTTCAAAGAATACAGAAGTCCGAGGGGGGTGTTGCTGGCAGCATTTATTTTGATACTTTGGTGTTTTTTAATATATATCATGTATTGTATAGGTATATAAATAGAACTAACATGTAGAAATTATATCAGGTTTCTACTCCTGCTGGAGCAGAGGCCGTGCGGAGCAGGGAATTAGAGGTAGCTTAGTGCTTACTCAGAGTTAACATCTGGGAAGTTTCTGGTTTTTCAAGGAACCAGGAGTGGCTTTGTCCTGGGCTGTAAAGCGGGCAGCAACATTTGAGATTTGTGGCCAAATAGCTGAGATGACAGTGACCCTTCAGGAAATCACAAACCATTCATCCTACCCTATTTGGGGCAGGTGACTCCACTGGCAGAACTTCTGCGCAAACACAACCACCCTCATTAATGCTGAAAACCAGCTTCTAATTTTAAGTACATAGAGTGGGCTTGTGTGCCACATTTAGTCTGCTTTGTTGATCCATAACATTTTGAACCTGTTTTATTTCTCACAGGTTAAGCACTTTTTTAGCCATGGTTAGCGATATTTGATTTTGAACTTATTTAAGTCATTCCCTTTGCTGCTGGCCTAAATCTTTATTAATTTCAAACTTGGCACTGGTGTTGATGCTTTGCCATTGATGGCTTAAGCCTTAGATGTTAGGGGTAACTGATGCACTAGAAATCTAAACATACACAGTTTTTAGTTCCTCCCTCCAGAGACCAACTCCTTGGGTTGGGTAGCAACTAACATTAGCATTTAGTGTCATTTTTCCTTCCTCTGTCCTCCAGGTCGGAGATTGAGTTTCCTTCCTGACAGGGAGGTGCAGCATATATATAAGCTCATCAGTTATCTTGAATTTCATAAAATATTGGAGAACTGCTCAAGTGATGAATCTCAATTAGCCAGTAACAAAAATAGTATGTGAACTTAAGAGAAACTGTTGTAATTAGACACGGCAGCGTTCCTGAATTCCCTTCAACAGTTGGGGCTTTAAGGTATCTTAA